CTTTTCTCTGTGTTCTTCCTTTTCTTTTCTTTTTGTTCTTTTTTTTTCTTTCTTTTTTTTTTCTTCTTCTTTTTGTGTTTTTTGTTTCTTCTTCTTCTTCTTATCCTTCTTGTTTCTCTGTCTCTCTACCTCTCTCTCTCTCTCTCTCTCTCTCTCTCTCTCTCTCTCTCTCTCTCTCTCTCTCTCTCTCTCTCTCTCTCTCTCTCTCTCCTTCTCTGGATTTGGTGTTATCATAATACTTTTATTTTCATTATATTTAATTCTATACAGATAGAAAAATAAATAAGAAAGTGAATGAATAGAAGAGTCCTTAGATAAATAATAAAAATATATATACGCATAATTAGATGTATATGTACATATGTGTGTTTATGTATTCAGTATGAACACAATCTTCCAAAAATAGGTAAATAAGGTGAATAGCTGAAATAGGTGAATAAATAAACAAATAAACAAAAATAATAGATAGATAAGAAAATAAATAGATAAATAGATAAATAGATAAATAGATAAATAGATAAATAGATAAATAGATAAATAGATAGATAGATAAATATATTAATAGATAAATAGATAAATAGATAAATAGATAAATAGATAAATAAATAAATAGATAAATAGATAAATAGATAAATATATTAATAGATAAATAGATAAATAGATAAATAAAGGAATATTAAAACAGGTAACAAGGCATTATAAATACCATCATTATTTCTCTCGAGTTCACACCTGTCGAGAATTCCTGACACATAATCCTCTCTATAAAAAGACACAAAGGAAAGGGAAAGAAAGGAGGGAGATGAGGGGAAGGGGGAGAGGGGAGGGGAGAGGGAGTAGGGGAGGTAGAGGATTGGGAGAGCGGGATATGGGAGGAGGGAGAGGGAGAGAGGGAGAAGGTAAGGAGAGGAGGGGGAGAAGGGAGAGTTTAGGAAGGCGAGAAATAGAGAGAGAGAGAGAGAGAGAGAGAGAGAGAGAGAGAGAGAGAGAGAGAGAGAGAGAGAGAGAGAGAGAGAGAGAGAGAGAGAGAGAGAGAGAGGACAGACAGGCAGAGAGATAGAGAAAGAGAGAGCGAGAGGAAGGGAGAAAGAGAGAGAAAGAGAGAGCAAGAGGGAGGGAGAAAGAGAGAGAGAGAGAGAGAGAGAGAGAGGTTTAAAAAAGGAGAAAGAGAGAGAAAAAGATAAGAAGCGAAAGGAGGGAACCGGAGGAGAGGACAAGAGAGGACAAGAGATGGAGAGAGGGAGGGGGGGGAAGCAAAGAGCGAAGAGATAGAGGAAGGGGAAGAGGGACGAAATCCAAAATTCAAAGAATATTTTTGATTCTCGGAAAGGGCGCTTTGTCCACGCCGCTGTCGCCTCCTTCGTCTGCTGCTGAAGGATTTCTAGGGGGGGAGGGGGGGGGGTGAAGTTAGGGACGCATGTTCACACACACACACACATACACATACACATACACACACACACATGTACATACACACACACACACACACATGTACATATACACACATATACACATACACACATACACACACACACACATACACATACACACACACATACATATGTACACAATACACTCACATACACACACAGACACACACACATACACATGTACACATACACACAAACATGAACGCATAAACGAGTGGGGTGTGTATGTGTTTACGTGTAATTTTTAAGTATTTAATTACATTTTGCGAATTTTCTACCACAACAAACAACACTCGCAGTGACGAATGTTATTGTTATAACTATAAGTGTATACATAGGTGTGTGTGTGTGTGTGTGTGCATGTGAGTGTGTATAAGTATGTGTTCGTTTGTGTGTGTGTACGTACCTGCGTAAGAGTGTATGCGTGTGGGTGTGTTTCATCATAAAATACCCCTTTTTGCTTTAAAAAGAATATATGATAATATTCCCGGATCCGTCACCACAGCAACTCCCTCACCCCCCCCCCCCTCTCTCCTCCTCCTCCTCCTCCTCCTCCGCAGTGCCGCAAGCTAGTAGAAAAAAAAGATGAAATAATGAACTGTTATTGTCTCAAAAGTCAAAACAACCTTTAATTGTAACGATGACCGAATCTGCCATCCTTTTATTTAGGGAGAGGGAAGAGGAAAAGAAAAAAAAAGAAAATAAATTCAGTCTTAGTAACGAAATATCCTTTTTTTTTTACCTTCCAATTTTTTTCTAATAAATCCTTCCAAGATGATTTATTCTTTCAGAAAAAAAACTAATCCATTTTTTCTCGTGTATTTTCCATTCAATCTTTCCTAATACACTTACCGAAAGTGATATATAATTTCAGCAAAATAAAATAACCATATTTTCCTCATATTCTTCCCCTCCCCCCCCCCCCCCGCCTTTCTAATATACCCACTAAAGAAAAAAAACTTAAAATCCCTCTTTCTTTAAGTAACTTTTCTCCGTTACTAACACGCCTATCCAAATGATCACATTCTATCAGAAAAAAAAGAAACCAAAATTTCATATTTTTTCTTGTATTTTTACTTTCTTTCTTTCTCTAATTCCTCATATGTCTTATATTTTATCTTCTCCCCTTTTCTAAAATCACTCAATTTGTCTCTTATTTTGACTCCTCCCCCTTTCGAATAAACACACACACACACACACACACAGTACACACACGTCAATGCCGGTCCCAAGCCAAGGTAAATAAAGAGGGTTGGCGTCAGGAAGGGCATCCGGTTATAAATATCTGCCAGGGAAGGAGGGCGAAAAAAAAATAAATAAATAAATTCAAAAGCTAAATTTAAGAAAGAACTTTATTATAAATCCTAGCCACTGGATGGACAAGCCAGCCCAGGTCAGTGCCGTCCCAAACCCGGATAAATAGAGAGGGATGGCTTCAGGAAGGGCATCCGACCATAAAAAATATATCTGCCAGAACCTGATCACAGTGACTCCCTACAAGAATGGGACAAAGCTACAGAGAAAGAAGAAGATACATAATCAAAAAGGAGGAAAAGAGAGAGAGAGAGAGGGTGATACAAAAAGAGAAAGAGAAAGAGTAGAGAAAGAAAGAAAGCGAATGAAAATGTGGGTGAAAGTGAGCGTAAGAGGGAAGTAGAAAAGAGAAAGAGAGAGAGAGACAGAGAGCGAAAGAGAGAAAGAGAGAGAGAGAGAGAGAAGGGAAGTAAACCCCAAACCCCCCCCTCAAAAAAAAAAAAAAAAAAAAAAAAAAATCAACGACGCAGAACACAGCTTAAAAGTGACAACATTGACATTATGCAGGTTACTCTAATGTCCTCGCGTGACGTCATCAAGGGGGCGGTGACGGGGCTCTAAACCTTCACATTATGACTTCGTTGAGTCTGATTTCTGACCTTTGGGCCTGGGGGGGGGGGGGGGGGGGGTCGTAGAGGAAGGGAGGGGAAGGGAGGGGAAGGGAGGGGAAGGGAGGGAAGGATGGAAAAGGGAGGGGGGGAGGGAAGGAGGGAAAAGGGAGGGAAGGAGAGGAGGATGGAAAAGGGAGGGGAAGGGAGGGGGGAGGGGAAGGGAGGGAAGGAGGGAAAAGGGAGGGAAGGAGGGGAAGGGAGAGAAGGAGGGTAGGATGGAAAAGGGAGGGGGGAGGGAAAAGGGAGGGGAAGGGAGGGAGGGAGAGGAAGGTAGGGAGGGAAGGAGAGGAAGGTAGGGAGGGAAGGATGGAAAAGGGAGGGAAGGATGGAAAAGGGAGGGAGGGAGGGAAGGATAGGAAGGTAGGGAGGGAAGGACGGAGGAGAGGGAAAGGGAGAAAGGGATGGAGAGAAGGACGGAGGAGAGGAAAAGGGAGAGAGGGAAAGGCAGAAAGGGAGGGGGGGGAGGACGGAAAAGAGGACAAGGGAGAGAGAGGAAAGGAAAGAGAGATGGGTATAGATGTGAAAGAAAGTAGAGATGAGAGAAAGAGAGAGAGAAAAGGAGGGAGGGAGGGAAGGAGAGGGAAGAGGAAAGAGAGAAGGTATAAAGGGATGGGAGGGAAAGAGAGGAAAGAAGGGAAAGGAGGAAAAGAAAGAGATAGAAGACAGAAAAAGATTGAGAAAATTAGAGATGTATTGCAGCTACTACTGTTATTACTACAACTATTACTACTACGACTACTACCACTACTATTGCTACTACTACCACCACTACTAATAACAACGATAATAACAATACCGATATTAGTAATTATAACAATATTGAAAATAATGGTGTATTAACAATAATAAAAACAATAATGATTCTAATAACAATACAATAACAATAGTTAGTAATTATAATAATACCGAAGATAATGATGCAGTAATAAGAACAATGATGATAAAAATGAAGATAAGGATGATAAAACAACAGCAAAAGGATAATGCCGTTAAAATAATATTAATGACAAGAATGATGGTATAGAAAAAATATATAAATTATCTGAAAAGATAAATGATAACAATCTCGATAAAATCTGATCCCCCCCCCCTTACCACCTACCTATAGGTCCCCCCTCCCCCCCATCCTCCCCGGGATTCCCTCTTCTCCCTTTCCTTTTCTCCTCCTCCTCCTCCTTGTTTCTCCTCCTCCCCCTTCCTCCTCCTTCCTAACACCCCTTCCTCACCCCCCTTCATGTCCCCCTTTCCCCTTCTACCTCCCCATCCCCACTCCTCCCTCTCCCCCTTCGTCCCCCTCCCCCTTCTTCCTCTTCCCCCATCACCCTTCCTCCTCCTCTCTCCTTTCCTCCCCTTATCCTTTCTTCCTCCTCCCCCTTCCTCCCCCATCTTCCATCTCCTCCTCCTCCTCCTCCTCCTCCCCCTTCCCCCCCTTCCTCCCCTTCCCCTTTCTTCCTCCCCCTCCCCCTTCCTCCCCCACCCCCCTTCCTCCCCCTTCCTCCCCCATCCCCACTCCTCCCTTTCCTCCTCCCCCATCCCCCCCCCTTCCACCTCCTCCCCATATACCACCTCCTCCCCATCTACCACCTCCTCCACCTCCCCCTCCAACCTCCTCCTCCTCCTCCACCTCCTCCTCCAACCAACTCAC